AGACCTTCCACCACAACGTTTGTCCTCCTGCTCCAAGATCTGCACGCTCATCCCCAGCAGGAGGGGTCCAAATCCAAGTTATAAGACAGCCTTGGAGGGCTCTGGACAGCAAGTGGGGTCTCACAAGATCAAAACCAGTTGGAAGGTGGTTCCACAAGCCCTACAAAAACGGGTGCAAGTTCCAGATGGACTGAACTATTTGTTGCACATAATTTAAGACAACCTCATCTCTATTTGCAAGCTACCTTGACTCTACGGATTTTTTAATATTTTTTTTTTTAAATCTTAAGCAAGCAGCTGGTTGTAATGTATCTTATAATATTCCTGCAAAGCAGCCCTCAAGACTTTCCTGGCTTTTCAAGACAGACGTGTGATTTCTTACTACATCACGTGCAGTTGGCACTTTTGCCTGGAAGGGAGAGTGATCTTCCACCCCAAAACAGGACATGGGGTGGCTGGGGACGCTAGGCACACGAGTTCCACAGAACAACACCTATCACTTCAATTAAGCCATTAACAACAGGGATTACGAGAGAAAGCTTGGGACAAAAGTGCTAATTACCACATGGTGCATCATTAACAAGCCCAAACAAAGCCTGGAGAAGCTCAGCTCCACTGATAATTACATCAAACTGGCAGGAGCAGCTGTTATCTGCGAGGACAGGGTTCTCGGAACTAGGGTGGTAAAATCCCTGATGAGCTGTGTCCCAAAGGCTTCCCAACGCTCATGCCAGGGCGGCAGAGGTTTGTTGGATGAGCAGGTCCCTCAGGAATGAGGCTGGAGAGAAAACCTGGGAGCTGGCAACCCAGCTTGCTCTTTAGTGGTGAGGCAAAATCTCCAACACAGATGTGATGTCCTTCTCTATCCTCCCAGGGCATCAGGGTGCCCACTCAGACCCTCCCATGGTCAGGTCCGTCATCCAAGCTGGGCAATCCCAGCAAGGGACACAAAACTTGGGAAGGAACAGGAACACCCCCCACCTCACATCAGGGTGTCCCCTTCCCCATCATGGGCACTGATGTCGCAGGGTCAAACATGGGGTCCCAGTTTGAGACCACCAGGATGAAAATTCTCTGGGGCTGCCTGGAGCAGGTGGCAATCACCACAGTCAAAGAGGGGCAGCTGTGTCTTCGGGGATGAGAGGATGGCTCAGGTCACCCAAATGGACTAATCACAGTGTTTCTTCCCATAATGCTCAGTATATAAGGGCCTCGAAGTAGAGCCCTGGGACTGTTAGTGCCTGGTGGGCTGGGAGGATTGTTATTGACTGTTCTTCATCTCTCTGTGCTGCTGGTGTTCATGTTTCGGTGTTGTGGAGGAGCTGCGTTCTTCAGGACAGGTTGTTCTTTCCTCTGCTTCCTGAGGTGAGAGTGGCACAGCTTTTTTTTGTTTGTTTTTTTTTTGTTTGTTTGTTTTTTCCCCGTCATGATAACTCTGGGCTTAGTGATTCCCACCTGCTGCTCGGGATCTAGTTGACATCTGGAGGATGTATGTTCCATATTAACATATTCTTCTGTATCTTTGAATGTATTGGTGTTCTTGTATAATATCTTTATGAAGTTCAACACCTTCATTGTTATTTGTTAGTATTATTTTTCTTTTTTCATTAAACTGGTTCAAGGGGTTTTTTTCAACCTCGAAGTCTCTCTCCCTGGTTCCCCTGTTATCCTCTCCTGGGAGAGTGGTGGTGGGATCACAGAGAATGTCTGTCAAAGTTTAGTGGCTGGCCCAGCCTTAAACTTCGAGACACAGGGTCTCTGGGTGGGATGAAGATATTTAGGAGGGCAATGGGACTGCTCGGTTTCTATCCCTTTGGTCTCTGAGAGAACACAGAAAACTGTAACAGCATTGGCAGGAGCTGGAAATCGAGGCTGGGAGCAAGGATGATCAAACAATCCTCTAAGTAAGATGCTGTCCTGGCACATGTCTCTGAAGGTCCAGGGTGTGGGAGACTTGTTCCTCTCTTACATGAGGACTCCTGGAAGGAGCAGGGGCCTGAACACTCAACACCATTTCTGGATGAGGACTTGAAGTGTGACTGAAACCCCCCCTGCTTTACTTCTCACTAGGATGATGGTTGGCTCCTGCTGAGCTCTGCCTCCATCTCCTGGCAGCCCTCTTGGTTGACCCTGAGCTGTGTCCATCATGAGACATGACACCCAGCTTGCTGGGCAGTACAGTGGGCGATAACACCTTCCCTTTGTCTCAGACTCTTTAAGTAACATCTGAGCAGAGCTGGAAAAGCAGATTCTTCTTGCACGTGTATCTCGAGCCAAACTGTGGCCACACCACTGAGAACCTCTCTGCTCAGCTGGTTGAGGGGGTTCCCTGCATCCTTCTTCCTGTCCCTCCCATCAGTTTGCTCCATCACGGGTCATTCAACTGCTGTGCCAGGAATCCTGGGCAAGAAGCTGCTTCCAAGCACTGAGATCATCTGGACCTGCACAGGACATTGCAACAGATCCCCAGCCTGACCCCAGCATCCTCCACACCAGGGACTGGGAAAGAGGAGCGATGGGGATGAGCTGACACTTGAACACAAACACCACATCTGTCCCTCCATTACCAATGGGTCGGGCAGAAACCCTCGGAGCAAAGGGCAGCCCTCTTAGGGCTCCTGCCTCATCCCCAAATCTGCCTCCCTGCCCAGGCACTTCCCCAAGCCTTCTCCTCCTCGTTTCCCGGCACCATGAGACACGCTGGCTGATCCAATGCTGGCTTGTGCAAGAGGTGATGGGTGCTGCTCCCCTCGTCCCCACCTCCCTTGGGTGACCTGGATCAGGTGACTCACTTGCTTATCACCCTGTCCATCTCTTGCAAGCAGGCGAAGCAAGAAGCTGCCCGATAAAACCCTGAGCGTGAGACTGTGAGATCCCAGCAAGCACGAACAAGTCCCCAGACCTGTTCCCTGGAAACTGACCAATGAGCTACGCACCTTTGCTACCTGCAGAAATCCCTGGAGAATTAAAGAGAGAGGAGGGGAAACCCAAAGAAACTACAAATCCCAGTTGTCATCATGAGTTCAGGTTTCTGTAGGACATCTTTGTGGATGAAGAGTGCTTGGTAAATCCAGTTGTGGAGCATCCCCCCCACCATCACACCCCATTTCCATCGCTGCTGGGGACAGATGAGGGAACCAGAGCAGCCCCATGAACTCCACGGAGTGCAACAATGGTCTAAACTCTGGCCAGACCATTTCTCACCCTGCGTCCCACCTCACACAGTGGCATCTTCCCCACCTTGATGGATCTCAGCCTGCCAATTACCAGGCACCTCCTCAGTTCTCCTTTTCCTGCACCAGAAGAGGTATTTCCAATTTTCCAAGAGGTCCAAAGTGCATCCATGCCATCTGCCCTGAGGATCTGCATCACCTGCTGTCAAGTCCACATTTCCCTCTGCTTCGGAGACTCTGCTGGAGCTGATGCCACATCCCTGGCTCTGCATACATTTCCCTATCATGTCACCTTTCATTTTGTTGTGTTCTTTTTTTAAACGATCCCTGGTGAGGGAGTCAGTGATCAAACTGCACAGCACCAGTCTGGGACTTGAGGTGAATGAAGTCTTTGCCCAGAAATGTCTTTATTTCCTGTTGGGCATGAATTAGAACTTGTTTTTACCTCCTTTTGCCAAGGGGGTGGGAAGTGCGGTTTTTCAGGGCATCCAGCCAGGCCATTTGCTGGAATGCAGAAAGATACACCCAGGGAATGGCAGCAATCATTCCAGCTTTGGAGGGAGGCCCCCAAAATGTGAACCAAGAGTGTTTCTACCATGCTGGGACCTCTCAGCATCAATGCAACCTGCTTCAGCCAAGCCCAATGCCAAAGAACAAGAGCAAACCCCAAAAGTTTGAACTTCCATGATCTCCGTGTTATGGCCAGGTTAGTAACATCTTCTGTGTGAAGAGGCTGGGAAGCCCTCTTAGATCTGTTCCTCTCTTCTGTGCCTCCTCGCCAGGCTCTGTATCAAACAGGTCAGTCAGGACCTTCCCAGGGAACTTCCACCAGGGGATGGAGTCAGAAACAGGATGGAGTTGGGAATGGGATCAAGGAAGAGACTGTGCAGCTGTAACCCACGCTAGATGACCTCAGCTGGGATGCTTCACTGAGCAAAGCAGGTGGGGATTTTGAAGCCCACTGCTACTCTTCCCAGGGGACTCCTGAGGAGCTTGATAGTCCTGGAGTCATCACACCATAAGGAATGGCTGGATTTTTCACCACTTACTTCTGCAATGCTCACTGTGCCAGCCCTGGGGCTTGGCAGGAGAAGACCAACTAGCCATGGATAAGGCTGTGGATGATCGAGCCCGTCCCTGGAGGCGGGTACTGGAAAAAAAAAAAAAAATCACCAGGCTGGCTTCTGGCCCACAACCTGGGCAGACAGCATCCCAGAACGCGTCACGGCTCCAACCCTCAGGATCGGCTGCAGCGGAGGTAGGTACGACACGGGGAAGGAATGGGGCACAGATGTTTCTGGGATGTTCCCCACTCCTGGGAGCCCTCTGGGTTACTCCTGTTTCCTTGGAGGGCGAGGAGGTAGCTCCGCCCGGGGCTCAGCAAGGAGCAGCCCACCTTTGTGGGGTGAGTCACCGAAGCACAACACCTGCGAGCGGGAGCCACGCTGTTGGATAAGGAGTTGAACCAGGGCGGGTGGGAGGACAGGCAAGAGACCAGGGAACCCTGTTCAGGCTAAATGAGGGTTGTGAGAGACCCTGCGGTTTGTGCACCTCTTGAGGACAACCTGAGCATTACAGTAGATGCCCACAGTGACTCAAAACCCAATTTGCTGAGGGATGTAGACAGAAAGGTCCCATGGGAGATACCTGAGTGTATGTGCAGGTGTGGGACTGGGGATCCACATACAGCTGTGCCTAGGACAAGCAGCTTGCAGACAACTCTATGGAGTGGGATGGGGTGGAAGTGTGGATGTGATTTTTTTATTTTATTTTTTTTTTCCCCCGTGTCTCTCTGGGTGCTGATTTCCAGCTGTCCCAGGCAGCAGGATGACTCTGTGGAATGGCTCCTTCCCCTTCTACCCTGGCACCAATGTGTACTTCCCCTTTGACACCACCCGGGTCACCATCATCTCCATCTTCCTCTCTATATTGGCCACTTCCATCATCATCCTGCCAGGGATTCGGGGCAAGGGGGTAAGTGGAGGGGCTCGGCGGGGGGTTGCTCAGCCCTCTGCATCCCACATGCTTCCTCCTTCCCAGCCTTGAAAGCAGACTTGGGGAATAAACACACTCACAGTTTCATGGACGGAGTTGTGGTATCTCCAGCAAGCCGTGGGGGTGAGCTCCAGCATGTACCCCATGCTGGAGATGCCAGCCTACATCACCACAAATTTACAAGGTGCCCAGATCTGAGCTTGACTGGATTTCACTGTGAGCAAGCCTGAGTGTTTTCACAGGACTGGAAAAAACAGGGCGAGGCTCAAAAATCTCACTCCACCTTCCCCGAAACTCCAACAAAAGGAGGAGATGTGCAGCCCCAGCCCCGTTCACAAAGCAATGGCCAGGTGACCCCCGTGTGACCCTGCCCCATGGTAGGGATACCCCAGCCATGTGTCCCCACTCTGTGCCTGTGGGGTGGGATTTCTAAATGGTACGCTTGGTGCTGAGGTCCCAATGGAAAAACCCCACTGACACCTGTCCCCTCCCTCTCTCTGTTCACCACTTGCAGCGACTCTTCTGGTTCCTGCGGGTGGTGATGGGCCTCTTCGTGGGAGCGGTGGTCCTCAGTGAGTACTGGGGAGCTCAAGGCTGCCCAAGACACAGGGGGTGGAGGGAGGGTGAACAGAGCAGACATGGGGTGGGTTTATGAAGAAGACCAGCCCCCATCTGTGTCTGGGACCTGGCTGCAGCAAGTGGTGCGAGGTGCAAATGCCCATCTGTCTCGTCTTTTTACAAAAGTATCCACTGATAGGACAAGGGGAAATGGGTTTAAGTTGAAGGAGAACAGGAGAATAGGGTTAGATTAGACCCTAGGAAGAAATTCTTCAGTCCAAAGGTGGCCAGGCTTCGGAATAAATTGCCCAGAGATGTTGTGGCTGCCCCCTCCCTGGAGGTGTTCAAAGCCAAGTTAGACAGAGCCTTGAGTAGCCTGATCTAGTTGGGAGGCGTCTCTGCCCGTGACAGGGAGGTTGGACTAGATGATCTCTAAGGGCCCTTTCCAGCCTAGGCCACTCTATGATTCTATGATTGTCTTCAAAGTCTGGCAGTCATACATGGAGGCCACCTCCAGGACAGTTACCGAAAGCCCACCGCCAGCTACCAGGGGATCCAGACAAGTTGGCAGGTGCTTAGATGAGGACCAGTGTCTATACAGTGCCCCACACATCAGCCCTGTTTCCTCGAGGGGTAGGCAATGTTCCAGGCATGGGGAGAAACCATCCCACATGGGGCTCTCAGGGTCACAGGTCAGGGTTGATACTGGGGAAGGATGTACAAGGCTTCTGCTCCTTGAGGCTCAAAACCCAGGCCTTGCCTTTGAGCTGGTGCAGATGATGCTCAGGCCATGGTGATCATCACGGCAGGTGTTTCCAGCAGTAGCTGTCTTGCCCCAGGCCATGACTGACCCTTGAAATCTTCACAGCTGTACAGTTCACCAGGGATTGGGAGACTGGCTGGGTGATAGCAAACACCTCCTACAAGTCCTTCAGCCACGTCGTGGTGGATGCAAACATTGGGCTGCACATTGGCCTGGCAGGGATGAACGTCACACTAGTGGGTGAGTGCATATGGTGACAAGAGAAGGTCAGGTGCAAGTTTGGCAGCCATGCACCTGCGTACTGGGGCTGTGGGCCCTCAAGACCCCATGCCAGGAAGACTTGGAGCTGCCTCCAAGGCTGAGAAAAGCTGTTATTCTTCATTATCTGGCAGGAAACCCAGTGAATCAGGTCAACGAGACCATCAACTACAACGAGCACTTTGCCTGGAGCTTCAATGCAAACTATGACCACAGCTACAGCAAAGGGCTGGAGAAGGGGCTGCCCAACCCCATCCTCTACGTGGTGGAGAAGTTCACCTCTCAAAGCCCCTGTGGCGTGCACAGGCAGTACCGCATCTCTGGCCACTACGCATCCCTCATGCTGTGGTAAGTTAGAGCAAGAGGTTGGTCCTCTCTCTGCTCAGTGAGGAGGTGGAAAGAACAAGGGTAGAGCAGAGGAAGCTTCGTGGAGCCACCCTTTGGCATTGCCAAAGCCTTGATTGGTCTCTGACACCCATCCTTTTGCAGAAGCCGGGATTCTCAAGTGGCTTGGTTTGTCTCATCTCCCCAGAGTCTTCTTCTGTGTCCTCTGCCCTGATGTGTATGGTTGCAGTTGGAGAAAAGTCTTTTTTATTTAAAGGAAAGCAGGTGCAACGTGTGAGGCTTATGATGTGAGGTTTTCTCCCAAGCAAGATGTGGAGCCCTGATAAGAGCAGCCATGAGCAGGTACCTCTTACAGGTGCCCAAGAGGGCACAAGACCTGATGATGGAGAGCAGGAGGGACTGTCAAGACGTGTTCAGAAGCTCTCGTTGGGTAAATCTGAGAGCCCCTGTGTGTGTTGGGATGCAGGAGCCTCAGAGCATCCCCACGTGTCTGAGGTCATGGGAAAGGCACTGCAGAGAAAATTCCCTCTATGAGCGTAGATCCCTGCCCACATCTCTTATTTTTTATTCTCAGGAAAAACAACTAGCCCTCCCCAAACCTTTCTGCTATTGAGAAGGAGTATTTCAAGGCAGGGATGTGGATGCAAACTTTTATTTTTGTTATTATTCTTGGAATAGGAACACTTTGTTGGGCTTGCCTCCCCAGTGAGCTGAACCCAAACACCACACATAGGGCAGGGCTGGCACCTGGGCTCACTCCAGGTGCTGAATCAGATGTGGGCACGGCTCCTTGCGCAGTTCTCCAAACAAAGGCCTCTCTTGTTGCCGTTCTCCTTTCAAACCAGAGGGAACTGCCTGGGGGAAGACCACCAGAGCTGGAGAAAGAGTTGATTTGGAGGGACCTCCAGAGGTTTTGACTCCAGTCCTCCACCCAGAGCAGGGCTGACACCAAAGCCACGTCAAGGTGCTCAGAGCTTTGTGTACCTCATGTCCCCAGGCACAGAGATCCCCCTTCATCACTATGGGACCTGTCCCACAGCAACATGATTCATTCAATTACAGAATCATTTGGGCTGGAAGGAACCTTCTTAGATCAGCATGTCCTCCCCACCTGCTCATGACAGAGCAGGTTGCCCAGGGCTGTATCTTGCTACTGGGATGTGGGAAGGAGATCTCAAGAACAGGTTCCAGGCATGAGGCTTTCTGATCGGTTTTGTGGTCCTCTTGCAGGATGGCCTTCTGCACGTGGCTCATTTCCATCCTGCTGTTCTCCATGCCTATCCTGCTCTATGGTGGCTACATGCTCCTGCTGACTGCTGCGCTGATGCTCTTCTCGCTGCTCTTCTTTTTCACCGCAAGAAACACTCAGAAGTGTCCCATCCAGTTTGGCCCAGCTTCCCTGAAAACTGACTATGGCGGATCCTTTTGGCTGACGTTAGTGACAGGTGAGTGCCCAGCTTGTTCCTGGGACTTTGGTTCTCCGTCCCTTCAGCGCCTCATCCCTTCTGTCTCCATGGCTGGTCACAGAAAATTATCTACTTTTCTTGCTAATGACATAGAAGAATTTAGGAGAATGTCATCGAGACTTGGGGGGAACAGAGCTGAGCAGCCAGATCTGAATGGCCAGAGTTACTTGCATGGAGGTGTGCTCAAAGGAGTGCCATGAAAGTCATGAATTGCAGAGTCTGGGGAAAGACCTGGCCTGGAAAGACACTGAGAGTTGTCTCTCCCAGGCCGTGTCCAGAGCAGGGCTAACCTCAAAGCCACATCAGACTTGTCCAGTCTGGTGGTGGATGTGCCCCTGGCCGGAGATCCTCTCCGCCTTTCAGGACTTGCACCACAGCTGTCCCCCTCATGCACAGCAATTATTGCCTTTTATCAAACCGAAATTTCCCAGGGTACAGCTGTGCACTTCTGAGAAGAGACTGGCTCTTCTTCAGTAGCAGAAGTTGGCAGTTATTCCCCTGTAGATTCCTCTTTCTCAGGCTAAAAATGCCCAGCTCCTCCAGTGTTTCCCCATGCATGGTGGGCTCTATCCCCAGCTCTCTTGGCCACCTTCTCCAGTTCATCGACTTCTCTTTTGTACTGGGCAACCGAGACTGATGGCAGAATCCAGACATGGCAAGGGAAAGAACACCTTCCCTTGACTTGCTGGGTGATGCCACAAGCTGTTGGCTTCCAACCAGGTCTGGATGGGGCTGGGACACAGAGGGCAGGAGGTTCTAATGTCTCTCCATACGCTGTGCCTTGCAGGGCTGCTGTGCTCTCTGCTGGGTTTGAGCATCATCATCCTGAACTCCGTGAAGCCAGAGAAGCTGAAGCTTGTCTTTAACATGGACGAGGGAAAGCAAGACGAAAAGGAGAAGTGGGACAAGTCCTACCTGCTAGCTGAACCCAGCTCTTCTGTGCAGGATGTGCCAATGATTCCCCTCGGAGAGCTTTCCGAGGTGACAGCCACCCCGCTGTAAGGCCCAAGGACACCCTTCTTGAAACCATGCTCCAGACCCGCCAGGAGCCCAGGTGTGAAAAGACACGACAAGAGCCAGGTGGCAAGAATACCCAAGTCTGGAAAGGTGTCTCAAATACAACAATTTATCCTCTATTTTTTTTTTTTTGGTGGTGTTTTTCTCACCAGCAGGTAGAAGAGCTTCTGAGGTGAGGTGAATCCATGTCCCATCCCTGTCTGTTCAGTTACAGGTATAGGGCTACCACCTCCCTCCCTGTTAGTCCATTCCATCAAACCCTAAGAGACATCCCTGAGAAACAGAGACAAAACCAGAACAAACTGAAGAGAACTCCAAAAAACCTGCAGATGCATAAATATGAACCCAAGGAGAAATAAAACCCCCACATCAGCAACCCCCACCCTGAAGACCCCTGAGAAGTTCCCTCTGCCCAGGGATGCTTTTCCCATCAGCGGTCGGAAAGAGGGAGAGCTCAGCAAGGTCCCCTCTCTCCATCACCTCCGCTTGGTCTGGAGTGAAGAGCAGGTTGGTGAGGAGGCCCATGCTTTAGTAGGATGCTGGAGGCACCAGACCTTGGAGGCCTCCTGGGTTTCAGACCCACCCTAATATCCCACAGCTCTGGTTTGATGTTTTCTGAGGTCTGTCAGGCTGGAAATGGCACAGTGAGGGAGTTATGCTGGATGGAGGAGGTAGGACTTGTGTTCCTTCAGGTCATGGCATCTGTCCCACACCAGCCCCAATAACTTGTTGGTTAGATGTAGCATCTTCCCACGATGCCTCTGGACCTGATGCATCTGGATGCAAGAAAGACTTGAGAAAGGAGCCTCCTTTCCTGAGGGTGTTCTGTTGGCTTAATTTTATAGCTTTTGTCCTGCTGCTCGGCTGGATAAAATCCTTCTGAAGCTGCCTTTGAGGTTGTCCTGCATCATGCTGGGTTTCTCAATGGCTCAGCTTGACACGTGCCATTGAGCCTCATGCTTCTTTGGGGACATCTCTACCAGGACAGCTTCCCCCATGGAATGCTGCTGCTGGGGACTTGCAGCAACCCTTAAATTCCTGCTTAAGAGCCCAAAATCACCCAAAGTGTTTCAAAGAAGCAGGTTTTTAATTAAGTTTTACTGAAAAAAAATTTATTATTTCTTATTATTTGAAAAAATATTATCTTTCACGCTATTATGTTGAAAGAAATAGCTGTCCTGGTCTCAGGTGAGACACTTAATTTTCTTCCTCATAGCTGTTACACTGTTGTGTTTTGGATTTAAGATAAGAATAATGTTAACACAGAGATGGTTTTAGTTGTTGCTAAGTAGTGTTTTACAAAAAAAATCCTTGAATTAGTGTTTGTTTCTCATGCCCTGCCAGTGAGAAAGCTGGAGGGGTACAAGAAGCTGAAAGGGGACACAGCCAGCATGGCTGATCCAAATTGGGATATTCCATACCCTATGACATCATGACCAGTACATAAACTGGGGGGAAGGCTGGATAGAGGCTGCTGCTCAGGAACTGGCTGAGTATCTGTCAACAGGTGGTGAGCAACTCCACTGTGCATCACTTATTTTGTATATTCTAATTATTTCTTTGATTACTATTGTCATTTTTATTACAATCATCATCACTAATATCATTATTATTTCCTTCCTTTTCTTTCCTATTAAACTGTCTTCATTGCAACCCATGAGTTTTACTGGTTTTTTCCCTTCCAATTCTCTCCCCCATCCTGCTGCACGGGTCAAGAGGCCACGTGGTGCTCATTTGCTGGCTGGGATTCAACCACACCAGTAACTTAACAGCGAAGGTGTTTACTCAGAAAGAAGAGCCAAAATATTGAAATTGTGGCCTTTTACAACTCTGGATCAAAGCTGCCCAGGTGTCCTGCAGCAATCTCCTTGTGGAGCCTTCACCAGGTGGGTTTAGTGCCAGAGCCCATCTTCTGTTTGTAATAACACAACTGGTTGCTCTTCATTGCCCACCCTGACTAGGGCTTGCATTTCATGGTGAGCCCAGCCAGCCCAAAGGTGGCTCCAGCTCAATGCAGGGAACTTGATTCTTCTCCCTCCTTCCCTACTTGTGGCATCTTTTTGGCCCGTGCTAGGCTACAAGTCTCATCTAACAAAGCCCAAGTTTGAAAGGGGACTGTCCCAACATGGACTGGTGCAAAGGCAAATGGATGAGGAAATGGGTCTCTGGGGATGTCAAGAAGGGTTTGTGATCTGCCCTTTCAGGTCCACTTGCAGGGAAGGGGTGGAAAAAACTCTCTTCTAGATGCTGTTGGCGTTGAGTTTGGAAGGCTAAGAAGGAGGTGGTCGTTTGCTCACAAAATGAGGGTTGGTGTACACCTCAGTCATTTCCTGGTACTCCTCCACTGTGTCCTCACGGAGATCAAAGACAGTTTTCAGTAGGTCCAAATTGAAGTAGTGCAGTGCAACAACAGTGCTCCCAGCCACGAAACAGAGCAGGCCTGGAAGACAACGTTCCTGTAAACATCAGCACTTTTCCCACCCCACCCTCCTTCTGATGGCCCACTTCCAGGGGACAATGCCTTCTTTTATGGAAGATGACCTTCTGCTGCATGAGGTGGCTTCAGCCCAGGCAAGTGTTCCCCAACTACTTGCGTTACTGCACCTCAAGGTCTATAAATCCCTCTGCCACCCTTGAGATGAAGATGGTGTTCCTCCTTCTAGCCCTCTTCCACACCTCTAACCAAAATTTGTGCCTCTGTGTAGCTTGGTCCTTACCAACCACTAGCGTGAGCCAGAAAGATCCCCCGTAGTCTGTGTGCAGGGTTGCGGTGCCAAACTGGATCAGGCACATTGGGGAGTTCCTCACAGTGGAGAACGAGAGCAACGAGAAGATCACGAAGGCCCCCGTGACCAGGAGCATGTAGCCTCCATAGACTAGGACGGGCATGGAGAAGAGCATGTTGGAGATGAGCCAAGTGCAAAAGGCCACCCTGGAGACGACGGAAGGACTGAGGATGAGTTATGCAAGTGCCATGGATCATCATCAGCTCTTCTTCATCGGGCCCCACTCCCTGACATCAAATAACCTCATAGATGGGGATGGGAGAGTTCTGCACACGGGTTGCTGAAGGACAGCAGCTCATTCCCTCCATGAGGATGGACTCTTGCCATCATCACCACATCACGGCCAGGATTTGCACCACATTCTGCTCTCCTGTCTCCAGCCTTGGTGGAGTTGACCAGTAGAGAGAACTAGGATTTTCTATCTGCTCACCCTAAGGTGCCTGTAGGGCCACTGGTTTGACTGCAGGCCTTGTAGAGCCCCCTCCAGGTGCTTTCCTCCTGGCAGCATGCAACTGCCATTCATCTCAGAGACCTAGGGACAACTGGAGGATCCCTTTCCCACATTCTTGCATCTGCCCTGCTTGAACCGGGAGAGAACACTCACCAGAGAGTGGCCGATGCGTAGCGGCCAGAGATGCGGTACTGCCTGTGCACACCACAAGGGCTTTGAGAGGTGAACTTCTCCGCCACATAGAGGATGGGGTTGGGCAGCCCCTTCTCCAGCCCTTCGCTGTAGCTGTGGTCATAGTTTGCATCGAGGCTCCAAGCAAAGTGCTCGTTGTAGTTGATGGTCTCATTGACCTGATTCACTGGGTTTCCTGCCAGAGGGAGAAGACTGAGGTCGTAAGACTCCTGGCAGACCAAGGCCACTCTGCACCTGGAGACTTCCTAGGGCTGTGGCCGCTCTGGAGGTGCAGACAGGGACATTAAACTCACCCATGAGTGTGACATTCACCCCTGCCAGGCCAACGTGCAGCCCGATGTCCACATTCACCAGGGCATGGCTGAAGGACTTGTAGGAGGTGTTTGCCTGCACCCAGCCAGTCTCCCAGTCCCCTGTGAACTGGACAACTGCCAAGAGAAGCAAAGATGGGGTTAAAGAAGGGCTAGTCTCAGCCTTTGCTGTGCTCAAGGAGGTGAGGGGGGATCATGGACAAACAGGAACTCTGCAAGGGAGTGTAAAGAAGGCAGGAGAGCTGACTCAGCCACCAAGACATGCCTCAACCAGCTCCCACACCCTGGCAGAAAAGCTCATGTCATCTCTTTGCTGAGCATCCACTCCCTCAATCCAGGAGTGGGGGAGGCTCAGATTCCCAGGAACAAACCCTGTGACCCGACTCCTCCTTGGACATCCTCTCCAGGACTTCCCTGCTGGCTCCCCACCACTGCAGCCCCCTGGGGACAGAGCTCAGAAATGTTCCTCTGTCTCGGGAACCAGGGTGAGTTTCATTCCAGATCTTAAGCTCCCTAGATCGCACTCTAGCGAGGACCACCCGAGAGGGGTGGCAAATGCCATCACAGCTCTGACAGTCATTTCAGCTGGGAGTTAAAAAAAGAAAAATTCGAAGCATCTGTGGTATCTGGCGTTTTTTTGAATGAAGCATCCTTTTCCCCAAACACTTGGCAGTGGGTTTAGTTTTCTGGCACTGAAACAAGCTGAGGGTGAAAGTGATGATTTAACCTCAGGCTGAACAGGAAAACTTGCCTGAAAAAAATAAGTTCAGCTGCCGAATCAACTTGTGAGGGCACTGATCCAGTAGCAGCTCTGCAGGAATGTTTTCTAGCTGCAAGGTTGAGTGTGCCCAGTCACCACCAGACAGAAACTCTGATGCTGGCTTTAAAACAATTAATTCCTCATGGGTGCCCAAGCAGCGCCCAGCTCTAATGAGAGCAGTGCTGGAGGGCTCTCCAGGGCTGAGCTGGTTGAGGTTGTGGAGCAAGCCACAACTTCAACATCCACCCCTCTGCCATGGTGCCATTTCCAGCCTGGCACCATGGTCCAGGGCAGCTCTGGTGGTGTCTCCCGACACCACATGAAGGGGGACCACCACATGCCTGACTGGCCCACGTATCAGCTGGGTCAGCATCCTGTGGCTGGTCACTATCTACTTCTGGTCGAATCAGAGGCTGACTCATTTAGGTTGCGCTTCATCATCCCTCTCCAAGCAGCTTTGTAACCCACCCTGTCCTTCATAGCGAGAGAGCTCCTTTGATTCAGGGTCAGCGCTGGTTGCTCTTGCCATCTGGCACCTTCTATGCCCTCAGTGCATCTTTTGCTTACACGTGCTGCCCACATTGGAAATCCCACTGATTTCCACCAGGAGATTTCCTGGTTTCTACAAAATCAAATCCTCTCCATCTCCTCCTGCTTTGCTCCTTGGGAAGTCTTTAAAACCTCAACCTCTGCCCTGCCAAGCTCCCTCTTGATTCATAGGACCAGCACCTCCAGCTGCCCTCAACCCCTGCCCCAGGGATGGAGAAGCTCTTTTTGGAAGCTCTGTGGCTGCTTTGCAGAGCACAGATGGGGTTGACTCTGCAGTCAGGCCATGGCATTATTTCCCAGACGCAGACCCTGCCCTGGGGTTTAATCTTGCCCACAGACCCACCTCCCTGAAGGCTGCACAGAACTTACCAACAATCACCACTCCCACAAAGAGGCTGAGAAGAACCCTGAGAGTCCAGTACAGCCTCTACAAGAAGAGAGGTGGGACATCAGGCAGGGAGGAACAAACCCAGCTGTCCTCCCACCTCACCCCAAAGCACTTGAGAGTGCCTCAGCACCCCAAACACGAGGAGAAGATGCTCATCCTCGGGGAGAGGGAGGTCACGCACCACCCGTCCGCGGATGCCCGGGATGATGAGCAGGAAGCTGCAAGCGAATGTGAGGAAGACCACGATCACTATGATGGTGCTGACGTCGAACACTGCAGCCTTCCTCTTCTGCAGGTAGAAGGGGTAGATGCCATCAAAGAGAGTCATCCTGCACCTCCAGGAGCCTGCAGGAGAGATACAGTCACAGCGGAGACCCTGTGCTGCCCTGCCTGGAGTGGCCAACCCCAGCTCAGCTCTGGAATAACCAGCTAAGGAAGGTCCACCTCAAAACTCACCAGAGGGACAAGGAAATGTGAGGCTGCAAGGAAACAGCAGAGAAACACCCAAATGCCCTCAGTGGAGGAGAGGAGGTGCCTGGGGCAGGGCTCCACCAGCCTGGAAGGGATTGTGGCAACCCAGGGAAACCACGAGCCGACGTCCTGCTGCAGCTTGAGGAGCATCCTAAGTCCAGAAACCTGTTGAACAGCTGCTTCTCAGATGGAGCCAGGCCTTTCCCTCTAGCAGATGCAGCAGGGCTTTCGCTTTGTGGAGTGCCCTTAGAGGAAGTCCACCAGGAGATGCAAGTCTTCCTCCGGAACGACAAGGAACCACCAAGAATATCGATTTCACAGTAGCAAGATCGTTACCAGGCAGGGGCCACCACTGCCAAGTGGAACAAAGACCAACCTCCTCCCCCTTCCACCCACTCTTCTGAAAGAGACTTTTCCCCAGAAGCTGTGATGTACAATCTGGGGAGGCAGGACTTGCTCCTGTGCTTGATCTGGAGGGGCTAGGGGGTCCAAGGAGACTGCAAACATCTGGAGAACATTGCAAAGCTAAAGGAAACCAAGCTACCTGAGACAGTGAACTGTGTAATTCCCGTGGACAGCTTTGAAGTCCCACTGACAGTTTCGTTTGAGCAATTCCAGAGCCTCCCCCCTTCCTGGGTCAGATCTTTTTGACAAAAACTGATTACATGCTTTGTCCTTTTATTTTTCTTATTTAATAGCATCTCTGCATGTAACTACCCGGGGAAGTCTTCTAAAAGTCAGAGGATGCCAGAGCTAATATGACTCATGACCAAACACAATTTCATTCTGTCCCTGCATGGAAGAGTTGATTTTATTCTCATTTTCTGAAAACAGTATTAATCGTATTTTTAGGTAAGATCCAACTCGGAGCAACTCAGCCACAAAGAAAGAGTGGTTCCCAAATCCCTGCAAGTGGGTGGGGATTACAATAAGTATCACAAAACAGTTTACCTGTGCAGCTGAAGTCATTCTTCAGTGCACAAAGCAATATTTGGTTGCGAAATAATTCTCTGACCAGTAGCCCTGATCGTTAACAGCAAACAGTTCAACAGAGACAGGGTTTTTAGAGCTGGCTCACGACTGACCTGGACATGACCTCATGTTGACTATCTGCTCCAGACTAACAGAGTTATTAAATCTTGTTCTGGGCTGTTTTGCTGTAACTGGTTTGGGCTATTTCCCTGGAAAGCCAAACCTCCAAGCGCCGTTCCCGCTATGGTTACCTGGCAAGCTGGAGCTGCAAACGATTCCCAGTGCTACAGTGTCGGGCTGAAGTCGGTCTGTGGGGGTCCCCAACCCGGAAAACACACCCACAAAACAGTCTCAGCAGCTATAAGAGGAGAAAAAAATGAACACTTTAAGCCTAGTTAAATCTTGATCACTTGAATCTCACCGACTTTGTCATATCTTTTGCCCAAATTTATTATGAGATGCGACGAGGGAAGGGGATGATTTTCCAAGTCTCTTTTCACCAAAACGGAGCTTTTCACAGAACAACACGTAATAAATGAAAAACCCAGAACGTAACACGGAAAATGTTGCCTCGTTAAATCTAATTTGAACTTCCAAACAATTATCAAGGGAGGTTTGCACTTCCTCAGCAGTTTGCAACTTCTGGCCAATAGTTTCACAGAGAATTTCCAGGGAAACAACCCTGTTGTCTGCGCAATCTTTCTCACTTGATTACCCTGCACAGAAGACCAGCTCCTTGGCATTTTTGCAGCTTTGAAGTGGAAAAATGGTTGCCTGCAACTCAGGGCAGGAGAAAAGCTGTTGCACCTTGGAAAGCATCCTCAGTGGCTGTGGCCCTAGAGCCCCTGCGGTTTCCTCTGTCGAAGGGGACAGGGAGGTAAAAGCCGTCTTTGAGGAAGGGTCAGTGATTTAGCAGAAATGGATAACCTACTTTTGCTTAAAATATTCTGGACTGGCAGGGGAGAAAGGCAAAGGAGGCAGAAAGTTTGCCCAAACCCCAGCGGTTTCTTTTTACAGAAACCCTGTTTTCCTGCCCCGGAATGAATCGAGCTGGGAAGGACCTTTCTAAAGCGCCCACCCTCCTCACATCAGAGCCGGCGGGATCGCTCAGGGTTGCAGACTGGTATTCTGCCACTGAA